TTGGATGGCATCACTGACTCAACGGACATGGGTTTGGGTGGACTCTGGGAGTTGGTGATGGATAGGGAGGCCTGGTGTGCTGTGATTCATGGGGTCACAAAGAGTTGGACATGACTGAGCGAATGAAGTGAACTGAACTGAGAGTACATTGTGCAAAATGCCAGGGTGGATGAAGCACAAGCTAGAATCAAGATTTCCAGGAGAAATATCAAAAAACTCAGATACACAGATGACACCACCCTTATGGAAGAAAGCAAAAAAGAACTAAAGAGCCTCTTGATGAAAGAGAAAAGAGAGTGAAAAGCTGGCTTAAAACTCAACATTCAGAAAACTAAGATCATGGCATCTGGTCCCATCACTTCATGGCAAATAGACGGGGAATCAATGGAAATAGTGAGACTTTCTTTTGGGGAGCTCCAAAGTCACTACAGATGGTGACTGAAGCCATGAAATCAAAAGATGCTTGCTCCTTGGAAGAAAAGCTATGACCAAACTGGACAGCATATTAAAAGGCAAAGACACTGATTTACCAACAAAGGTCCATCTAGTCAAAGGTATGGTTTTTCCAGTAGTCATGTATGGATGTGAGAGCTGGACTATAAAGAAAGTTGAGCACTGAAGAATTGATGCTTTTAACTGTGGTTTTGGAGAAGACTGTTGAGAGTCCCTTGGACTGCAAGGAGATCTAACCAGTCCATCCTAAAGGAAATCAGTCCTGAGTATTCATTGGAAGGACTGATGTTGAAGCTGAAACTCCAATACTCTGGCCACCTAATGCAAGGAACAGACTCACTGGAAAAGACCCTGATGCTGGGAAAGTTTGAAGGCAGGAGGAAAAGGGGATGACAGAGGATTAGATGGTTGGATGGTATTACCGACATGATAGATATGAGTTTGAGTAACCTCTGTGAGTTGGTAAAGGACAGGAAAGCCTGGCATGCTGCAGTCCATGGGATCACAAACAGTTGGATATGACTGAGTGACTGAACTAAACTGAACAACCTCTTTTTGGAAAGAGAGGGTAGATACTGAATATGGTCAACTCTACACTAACCCACAGTATCAGGACTTTCTCAACTAGCTAAAATTCTGCAGTTTCTAGACTCAAACTTAGGTTTTGTAAAGCAGTGACATGGAGCAAGAAATTTGCAGTTTTTGGCTCAGAGTTCCCCACTTCTACTTCTCTACATCTTTATTCCTAGATTGTGAGTGCTGAGGGGGAAGGAACTGTGTGTTTGTGAGCCTTTTGTCTTTAGCATGGAGCATGATGCCTAGAGCAGAGAAACAATTATAAACATTGAATAAAGGTACGGGTTAATTAATTAACTCCATTTTGAAATAAGTTGTCTTCAAGGAGTTCTGCCTAGTAAAGTTAAATTATCCCCACAACAATTTCTTTTAACTATACTACCTATGTCCGTATATTATGAAGATATGGATGAAGGGCAGTGATTCAATAGAGCTAGTTGGTATGGCTTAGATTTTTTATATCAGTATTAAAACAAAGTAGTTTAGGATTAATAATTTAAGGTTCACAGGGGAAAAAAAGGTAAAGTTCCTATTTTAACCTGTATATGTATTCACTTAGCCACTTACATATACCTTCTCTCCTGTCAGATATATTAGTTTAACCCCTAAATGCTCTTGAGCATTTTTATTTCCAAATATATACAATAGAATTGAAATATTTAAAAAATCCTATTATGAATTTAAGAAATTGGTGACATATGTTTTGATAGATTAGCATGTTTGGAAGTAAATATTTATAAATCTCATTAATATAAATCTTTTTACACACAATTTTAAAATTGTGTTATTATGTTTAGGTATTAGCAACACTGAAGAATTAATTGGTATCCTTCTATTGGAATAATTTCTGAGTCAGATCTCTGTTTCAACAGATAAATCATGAAGCAGTGAACACAGTGGTTTTGATGCAATTGAAGCTACTCAGTGCTTTTAGCATGCTAAGTCAATAGCCATGAGAAAACAGATCAAATGT